AACAGCTACATCCAAACTTGTCAATAAATCTCTTGAGTATAAAAACAGAAGTCGAAAAATACGGAGTGAAAAAAAGCCTAAAAAATACGAATGTTAATTATTTTGTATTTTATCAATTATGTTTATTATAAATATAAATTAAAAAACGAAACAAAAATTATTAATTCACAGTTGTGTGTTATTTGTTTATTCGATATTCATATTTTCATAATAATTGTTTTATTGAAATCAATTATCGAAATCAGTAACAGAATAAACAGTTTTGTTTATCAATTTGTATGAATAAGATATATATTATATTTTAACTACAAATGAATAATAACAAATACTTTATTAATTTTATATTTAAATTATAAATTTCATGTTTTATAAACATCACAATATTTTTTGCAATTTTTCATTCATTAATTTTTCTTTTTTTCAACAAAAAAGTGAAAAAATATAATTATTATCATTAATAAAATTATTTATAATAATTGTAATTAATTTTACTTTTTTATGGTATATTTTATTAATAAATTATTAAAAAATAAAATGTAGATGTGTCGGGTTTGGGTTTAAAAAATATTCATCAAATTTATATAATAAATAAATTCAATTCAAATCCAAAAACAGTTTTATTTGAGATCAAATGATGATTTATTATCAAAATAAATGTAAATTTAATATATAATTTATTTTAATTTATTCACATGTTGACTCCGATACATAATAATTGGTCCAAATTATGTGTGGATTTAATTAAAGACAAAACTCATTTATAATAACTTTGTGATGTTTTTTACAATGTGTAAAGTTCATATTTGTTTTAAAAACAATTGTCATAAAAAGCTGCATTTATTATTTAATGTTTTGTATATACTAAATAATCAACCATATTATTTGTTTAACAAAAACAAATTATGATTTTATTAATTTGTTTTTTTCAAAAACAAACACAAAGTTGTTACAATATACTTGTGTATATTGTTTACACCAGCAAAATATAATTACTTTAATTTTATACAACTTAAATGGTATTGAATTGAATTGAATTGTAATTTTAAATACTATATGATCAGTTTTCATTCATATTTTTGGTTTTACAATTAATTATATGTTTATATTATATTGTTTTTAAAATAAAGAACAAAAATCAAAATAAAAACATTATATTATAAAGTAATTATTTCATACAAGCTCAACTTTTTAACTTAATAATATTTAAAATCACATTTTTATTTGTTATTTACAAAAATACCTTTTATTATAAATATAAAAATTGTGTAATAATTTTCGAAAATATAATATTCTTACACATAGTTGATATTCATTGTTAATTAAGATATTATTTTTACATTATATAATTGTGTAAATTTTAATTATATAATACTACACACAAACAACATACAGTTCGATATTTTTTTAATTTAATATTATTAATTAAATACCATATAAATATGATTACACAAATACTGTTATGTAATTGTTATTTGCATTAAACTTTAAATTAATAACTTACATATTTGAACCAATAATAAATAATAACAAATTTATTTATTATTGGTTCAATAAATAATAAACTAATAATTTTTATTAATATTATTAAAAATCAAACTTATTTTAAAAAGTGTAATAATTCAACACAAAATTTATATGTTTAAAAATACACCCATAGCATATATAAAGATGCAAAATAAACACACAAACATAATGAGTACTTACACTAAAGAAGACTGCAAGAAATACAACGACATCATTCCAGAAAAATTCACGATTCTTGGTGAAAAGTCCTTTTCCGAATGCAAACTCAAGAATGTAGTAATTCCTTCCAACATTACAAAACTTGATGAAAGTTGCTTTTTGAACAACATGACAATAGAATCCGTCAAACTTCCAGATACTATAGTTGAAATGTCCGAGTCATCATTTTCTGGGTGTGTTTCATTGACTTCGATCAATATACCAAGCAAAATTACTTTATTAAACGAATATGTTTTCAATAAAGCTAATTTTTCTGCATTTACTATTCCCGACACTGTCAAAGTTATAATGTATAAAGCATTTAATGAATGTACAAACTTAACAAGTTTGGTCTTAAGTAGCAATTTAGAAACACTTGGATCATATTCGTTGGCAGATTGCACTTCTTTGAAATCAATAACACTACCTCAATCTCTTAAGAATATTGAAGATAAAGCTTTTATTGCCAACAAAAATTTACTTTCAATTGTTATCCCCAAAAATGTCACTTCTGTTGGTGATGGCATCTTTCTTTGTTGCAGTTCACTTAGAAGTGTTACGATATTAAACTCGTGTTTGGGCAAAAACATGTTTGTAGAATGTGAAAACATTCAAAATGTTGTGTTAAATGATGATATTATCGAATTAGCAAATGAAGCTTTTAGAAATTGCAAAATAAGCCAAATTGTTTTACCAAAACACTTGAAATCAATTGGATACTCGTGTTTTTGTGGATGCAAATCACTTAAAACAATCGAATTGCCAACTTCACTTTCGGTGATTATTGGTGCTGCGTTTAGTGAGTGTGGTTTAATTGAAGTGACATTACCAAAAATCGATAAAATAGAATCCAATTGTTTTTCTGAATGCTATAATCTCACCAAAATAGTTATCCCCGACTCTGTGACAGAAATTGGAACCGAAGCTTTCGCTGAATGCAAAACACTTGCATCTATTAATATACCAAATAATGTTGAAAAAATGGGAGAAGGCTGTTTTTATGGGTGCAAAGTATTGACTAAGATAGTAATTCCCAACAAAATGAAAATAATTGGTGAATATTCTCTTGCAAAATGTAAAGGAATTATTGAAGTTGAAATACCTGAAGGTGTTGAAATTATTGATAATTTTGCTATTGCTGATAACAAGAAAATAAAAACAATTACATTACCCAAGACTATCAAAGAAATTGGTGAATCCGCATTTGCTGGCTGTGTTTCTCTTCAAGAAATCTTTGGGATGGAAAACGTCAAGAAGTTTGGAGTTGGTTGTTTCTATAAAACCAAAGTCTCTGCAAATAACGTTCCTTCAACTGCATTTGATAAGTCTAAACATTATAGAGAGGATTAATTTAGAGAATAATTCTTTATTACTTATTAATATTCATACTGACTATAACATTTTATAATATTCTCACAACAGACTTGTCAATTTATAATTAATAATATAATTTATCAAAACAATATGTATTTAAGTTATTTACAAAGACTGTTTATTTTGTGATTATTTAAAACATCTAACACATAATTTTACAACCAAAGTTGTTATGCTCAATAAAAAGTATATTTTAAACAATAATTTCATTTTTAAAATATTTTTTATGTTTTTTGATAGATGATTCTTTCTGTTTATTTCAACAAAAAATGATTTTTATTCTATTTTTTGATTTACCAATTAACAAACATTAGTTGAGTTAACAAAAAGAAAACAGACATGTGTATTTATAAAATAATTGTTTGATCAAATATTATAAAAAACAAATTGATTTATTATCTTTTGGTATTTATGACAATTTATTACCATAATTTAAAACCAACTTGAACTAAAAATATTAAGTTTAAATTTAACTTGATTTATAAAAGTGGGCGTTATGGGGAACTGAACCTTATCGTTTCTTTTTACATCCTTTGAATAATATTTTTTAATAATGATAGCTTTGATCAAGAGGATACACTTTTTAAAAAAAATTATTTTTTAATACAATATTATAAATGTGTGTTATGTTTTTAAAAAGAAGTACTGTTGTATTTATATCAAAGCGTCGAGACTCAAAGTTTTAGATTGTGTCTTGACAAATAATTTGAAGTTTCACGTTTGTGTATATAAGTAAACAGATGTGAAAACAGTCATTAGCAAGCATGGAGTTCGAATTGGAACTGTTTAAAAACGTTCCAATAAAGAAAAAAACGTCTTTACATAAAAAACAGTTAAAACAATTCCACACATCACACCAAATGAGAAAGATGAAAAGAAATACAAATGGTGGGCTTATTAAAATCTCAAAAAAAGAAAAAAAAGAATTTAACATATTTTGAAATAAGCTCACAATTTGTTCTTATCTGAAGGGGTGAAAAATAACCGCTTCATGAAAAAATTGCTATTGATAATTTAACATTAAAATGATAATATGATTATAGTTTTTTTATAATTGATTTATTTCCTTTTCCTCGATTTGGTTCAAAAAACAAGGTTTACAAGAGTCTCTCTGATTTTTTCAAGATGATGATGTTTGTTATCGAAATTTGTAAATTATTTTTAATGTAAAGTAAAGGCTTTGGCGAATGATAAAAGAGGAGCAAGAAAAATTGATTTCGAAACTGTTCTTTGAAGCCAAAATAACCAAAAAACTTAAAATTTATCAAATAAAATGAACTTTTTATTAAATATTTTTTCAATTTTTTGCAGAAATAAAAAAACTCAAAAACATTAACCCGCGAGTGTACCTTTTTTCACACCCCCTTTCACTCCTTTATAATTTTTTTCATTTTTTTAATCATCCATTAAACAAATACTCAAGAGTCAAATCAATTACCTCTCGAGCAACATAGTAATTATACAGGCCAGCACATGTTTTTAATAAACCACTTTTCAATGTCTCTCAGCAAAGACAGACTGCACCTTTATTTCACATCCCCTCTTGTTGGATTCCTCATTCGCTCAGAAATGCATTTCACTGCCGAACTGAAAAAACGCACTTTGGACTTACTCACCAACTGAACGTGAGTACATCCATTCCCAGCAGTTTTTTAAGTGCCTGTCAAGCAAGCGATAAATGACTCGTTATTTCGTTGTTCTTGCTTTTTTGAAATTTTTTATAAAATAAACTAAGCAATTTATTAATATTGGTTAATAAAATCAATATAATACGGATAATTTTGTGTAAAATATCAGAAGCGGTAAAGGGGCGCTGCACATGTCCGTTAGAATTTCTCGTGTTTTTTGCTTTTTTCCACCAAAACCTCAATTATTTGAGGCAAATTAAAAACTTTAATTATAATTATGTGTAATTTTACCACTAAATGATAGTAAAGCGGTTTTCACGCCGTGCAAAGAAATGTTAAAAAGACTGTGAGGATACTGTGGACGATCCGAAAGTGCGGCAATGATTTCTGTATGGTGAATAAATTCAAGTTTATTGTGTGTTTTTGTATATTTTTCAATACATTTGGTTAAACAATATTTGTATGCCGAGAAAAACACA